AAGAGAAGAGAAGAGAAGAGAAGAGAAGAGAAGAGAAGAGAAGAGAAGAGAAGAGAAGAGAAGAGAAGAGAAGAGAAGAGAAGAGAAGAGAAGAGGAGAAACCTCACCTTAGAGGCTCTATGTGGAGCCAAACCATAGCGACATTTCAAACAGCCAGCTGAGTGATCTGAGATCCAGTGTCTGATCCTTCGTGACTGATAGGCTGAGAACATGCAGGAAGTGGTGCCAAACCTTGAAGGCTGCACGGTGTATTTACCTTGGATAGGCCATACATGCCCAACAGATCCATGTACATGTTCCAAGAGGCTTCTGACAATAGAATTCTCACACTGCCGCAGCAGTACCTGAYAGAGAATTACATTAAGCRTGTCTTTATCCTTTCCCAGTTTTAYCATCTGTTTTCTCCARCTTCTATGTCCAGCCACACATTTCCCTTCTTCCACCCCACCTCATCTCCATCTTGTCTCCTCCCCTGAAAGCATATCTCTACTCCTTCCTTTTGCTCCCAGCACAGAATAAATACAAAAGGTTGGAGCTGCCACCCACCTCTAGCAGGCCCAGTTAAAYACCAACTTCCCATAGCATCTGCCTGAGCACAGCAAGCTGTGGTAGCCCGCCCTGCTGGAGAAAGGGGCACCATGGCAGAAGTGCTTCCCATCCAGCAGCTCATTGCAGTGTCTGGGCTCTGCTGCACAGGAACAATGCTGGGGCTGCCTGGGATGCAGGGATCAGCGGCTGCTGAACCCACTGGAGCAAGAGGGGATCCTGGGATGGACCAATCCCTGCCTGTAACTGCTGAGRGCAGCTCTTCCAGTGCCATCAGAAACCCTGGGGCTGATTCAGGCCTGCCTGCATCCAGCTTCCCTCCCCTCYGTGGAAGATCACTCACTGAGGCACAGGAGTAGGGCAGGACATGATCCATATATACCAGGTATATGACTCAGATAACCATCTTTTATTTGGGTTTCTTTTTTTTGTTTGTTCTCGTTTTGTTTCTTTTTCTTTAAAAGTGGTGTGTTAACATCAGGTATTTTTCTATGTTTTCAGACTCTGTACAGGTCTTAAAAGGAAATAAGCAATGCTTAATGTACAAAGTAAAACCAGAAATCTAGAAAAATCTGAGTAAAATGGAGCAAGTTGCTGTCAGGGATACAGTACAAATTAGTAATTAGACGTCATCTGAAGTGCAATACCACTGCAGTAAGGATGAGTCAAGGAATGAAATAAAAATATTCTATTTTAAAGAAACAGTATATATATATATTTATATATATATTTATATGTATATATTTTACAGATAGTAGATCCAGTGATATCTGCAGAATTGTAAAAACATATTTACAAATGACTTTTTTTTTAAACATTACATATACATCAGCACCATTTTAAGAAAGAAAAAAACCCTGAACCAACCCCAAATCTAATAAAATCTACTCTCTAGTACTTGATCCCAATATGGACTATTTGGAGGAAGCTTTACAAAGACAATAGAGACTTGTCTTTACCACCCTTTAGCAACAAAGCCTGAATCTCTCTGATCACATGGACTTGCACTGGTTGCTGTATAGTGGATGTGCATTTCTAAGCCCCTCTTTCTCAGCTCTGTGTTCACAGGTGAAGCCTCACTGGAGGTGTGGCTACTGTGGTGTCCCCAGCGCTGTCCCCTGCTCAGCAGGGKGGCTGCCTCTTCACCCTGTCACAGCTCTGTCACACAGGTGTGTGACCCATGCTTGTGCTGACACACACAGAGCCACAGCACCCTGCTCCCTTCCTTCCATTCYGACCAAGAGATGCTGATCCACAGGATGAACCAAAAGCTTTGGCTGGTGCTCCCTTTCACTGAATTAGGTCCCAACCTGGATCCTACTGAAGCAGCAGGCAGGCAAACCATGCTTATCCTCAGCAGGATCTGGAACTGGCCCTTGTGCTGTATTTCAAAAAGGGGTCAGCTAGAAGAGATGCAACAAAAGCCATTTAAAAAAAATGTAGCAGTCAGGGCAGGCTGGATTGATGGCTCACCTTGAGCACATTAAAAATGCAGCTTGTCCTGCTGCATCACAGCATTTAGAACAGGTAACTCCCCCCACTGGGCAAGTCCTGCAAGGGAAACTGCTCAAAAAGGAGCCTCAGTGGGGCACTGAGATGGTTCCAGGCTCATTTGCTCCCCTTCTTTAATGTAATGCATGTSTGTGCTCCACAGGGAGAGGCAGGATGTGAAACTGCCAAGTGCCAAGGCCCTCAGACTCCATGGAATTCAGGGGCTCAGCACTTAGCATCGCTGGGCCCAGGGAGAACAGCGCACAAGGAGGTAACCAGGAGCTGGGGAATTGGGACTGGCACTTGTACACTTCTTCTGCAGAGCACAACTCATGGCTCACAGAGGCCAGCGCTACACCAGAGGGTGTTAAAGCTCTGGACTGTGGGTCATGCTCACATTTGTTATGCAAAACAACGTAACCTGATAAGCAGCTCTYGACTGAAAACACTGAAGAGGTGATAGGTTCCAGAAGACAGCCTCCARCTGCAGTTTGGGAACCCTGCTGTACACCTCAGAATGGCTGGTGACTCAGTATTGTGCAAGATCTATCTCAAATTAATCACAGSGCTGCTCAGCACTGGTCCACATAGTGGAGATAGTGATACATCCCAATTACCGAAAACCTTTCTTGGGTGGACCTCATATTTGTAGTATCAGTTATTTTTATCCACTCATTAATGGTCTTTACAGTAGTCCTTCACTGCCTCCTCTTCTTCAAATACTGMAGTGAATTTTATTCCAGCAAACCAGAGAGATTAGACCAAACATCTGTTTAAAACTGAACACATCACATCGAGAGCCCAGACATCCCAGGGCAACACTACCTGACAAACCCCTAGTTTTCAAGAGGGGAGGTGAAAGTCTTTCTGTGTGTCAAACCCTCACTGSATGTTTTCTCATGCCTGTTTTCTCCTACCCTGCCTGACCCTTTGTGGCTCACCTGAAAAAAAGGGCAGCCAKCTCAGCTTGCTTTACACTGAAGGAACAGGAGGGGAAGGGAGTGAACTGAACGCTTCCTGGGGAGGAGATGGAGAGACCCGCTGAGGACACCTGCTGATGTCTCTTGGTACCTCTCAGCCCTCCAACACCCCAGACAGCAGGGCTATGCCAAGTGCTCSACTTTGGAAGCACTACTGCAGTCCYAAGGGGACTGGRCACTTCATTCAGTTAACCCTAGGCTGTCTCCAGCAGCAGTCACATAGCCAAACTGCCCTCACAAYACTGCCARATTTATGTTCTCCTACACTTGTACTGGGATTTATCACTCTGTAGTGAAAGCAGTGACCTCCCTGTCATTGTTTAGGTTTGTCTTMTGAGTGCTGCATATTCCCTTAGGACAGCCCAGAGCCAGCCCCCATTGGTCTGGCCATGGCTCTCCAAGACCTGCTTGCCCCCAGGGCTAAGCCCATTTCTAACCAGGGCCTGTGAAATTGCCCCAGGACATTKGCTCCCAGCTCTTCCATCTGCTTCCCTGGAAGCTGCAATGTGCACAGTCATATGAGGTGGAAGATATCAGGACCATGCCACACCACTGTGCCATGAAGCCTTGTTTTAAGTGGGGAGAGAACAAATATTCCCAGCCAGAGGCATCAGCTGGCTTTTTTAGTTTCCCCATTCTGCCTCACACATACACAGAGTGGGCACTGCCACACAATATAGATTGCTTGGTGGAAGTTTTGGGATGTTGATGTTTTCATCGTCCCCTGAATATTCCAAAGTTGGCTACAGATCAGCTTGGTTTGCACAATTGAAAACAAAAGAAAACAAAATAACCCCAAATCAAACCAATTCAAACAAAAAACAACAATCCAGGGATGGGGAGAACATCCAACTTTCTCTTTTCTTTTTTCAAACATAACAGCCAAAGCTCCAGACTATACAAGCCCATTCACTGGGGGTTTCCAAACAATTCATCAAGTTCTTGAATCCACTCATCCCCTGGTCCACCCTTAATAATGGAGTCCACAAGGTCTGCGCCCTCTGCTAAACTGGAGAATGACCCCCCTGATCCTTCATTACTGTAGTTGTAAGATACGTCCTGAGTGGGATTCCTCTCGTAGGCCTGGCCTTGGTTGCTCTGAGCAAAGTTACCACCTGGCATTTGCTGCGTTGAGGGCTGACTGAAGCCTGACATGGCAGGGACCCCTTGGTTTATTGTTGACATCACCATGGGCCTGGCCTGGCTGGCTGACTGTTGCCCAGGCAGCGTTTGCAGCAGCTGTCTCCCCAGCACTGGGTTCAGGGCTCTCACTGTCCCACTTGTGTCCACAATTGTCTGATTGAGCCCCTGTGGGAAGTGCTGCTTGGACAGCCGTGGCTGCCTGGATGGCATCGCGTACACGGTGCCRTTGTTGAAGGGCCCCATTTCACCACTAGTCCTTCCAGGTATGCCTTGCAAACCTCGCTGCTGCCAGTTTTGTGTTCCTTGAGGGACAGTCCCCATCAAGTTTTGAAGTTGTGGTGCTTGTGGCCCTGGCAAGACCTGGCCCACAGGTCCTTTCATCTGCTGTTGATGCTGGGGAAGAGCAGAGTTTACCAGCATGTTCTGACCAAAATTGCCAACCATTCCCACCGCTTGTCCAGAGGCAGGCTGCCTTGTTCCCTGGCCTGTGCTGTGTGCCGTGTTCATGCCACTTTGGTTTGGGTGCTGCAACATTTGGCTCATCCCTGTGCTCATACTGTACATTCCTGGCTGGCTGGAAGAGGCATTGCTGTAAGGAGCCATGCTGATATCCGACTGGCCTGCAGTGGTGGGCAGYGTGCTCAGGGTCTGGGAGGTACCCATGGCCATCATGCTCACGTTCTGGGCCATCATTCGGGATGTTCTCATGCTCTGGAGTGCTGCTTGGTTTCTCACAGCTGCTATATCCTGGGGTGAACCTGCACCAAAAACASAGGAAGGTAAGAAAAAGCCCACAATCCTGTAAATCTGAATTAACACTTCTTTGCATAAGAGAGAATCTGTAGGATCCTCCTCAGTACCACTTATCTTCTTCAGCTACACCTAATTCAGCTTCTAGCAAGCAAATGGGAAAACTCCTACTGGTCATCTTCAAYGGCAGCAAAGCAGCTGAACCTCAGTTTACCATCTGAAGCTCTCTTTTAAATATCTCCATTGTCTTTCAAAAGTAAGCCTTGAAAATGTAAASATCAGGTTTATAAGGCCAACCAATTTTTTTAATAGTTCAGGAGGCATAAAAGAATGGATTTTCTATAGCATTGCTACAGATTAATTCTATGGAAAGAAGAACAATTGGGGTTTTATGGACATTTAAGGCAGAGAGAGTATATTAGTGAATCAATACTATAAGCACATTTTACTTCACCTTAGGCCAGTGATGGGAAACCAGTAAGATCCTAGCTTTGTTAACTTCCACACTGTGGCAGATAATTTAACCATGCTTTTGTCTTCCTTTCAGGGCTAGTGGGGAGCTATCAATTTATGGGAAGCCAATATGCCTCTGTATTTACTGYTTTTATTTAAAGACAATTACCTGGAGCTCAGATTATGCCCTGGGTTCATTGTGGATTTGAGTCACTAACATCCCTAACTAACTACAACACTTGSCAGATGAAGCCTGGAGTGTATGAGGCACACAATTGCTCCAGGCGCAAACATTATTAAATGGAAGGTGTAAACATAAAATCATTGCTTAAGAATTCAAAACTGTACAACAGAAGCTGAATGTTCTTAAATCAGCCCCTATTTGTTGTCCCTCAGTGGCAGACARCATCCCTGAACATCAGTGGGGAGTGGAGAACAACTGGTCCCTGTTATTGACGTTGGCTTGGTTTCCATGAGAAATGGGTCTGCATAAAGGAAATATAATTTCTATACATGTTATTGTATTATATAATGCAGAGAATATCTACAACTCCATTTTCTGCAGCACCACAATCTTCTGGTGGGTGCTTTTAGCTCCAGCACACAGGTAAACATTTTCTAGCATGAAGAGAGACCATCTGGATCTCACTGGCACAGGCCACATGTAGTGGCAGCTTTTACTTTATTTGTGCTATCAAACTGCTTTCTTAATGATTGTCACTGGGGTCCCCTTGATTTTTCTTAATTTAGATCAGCTCCTTCCATGATTAGAAAGTCTTTTTACAACTGCATCAAGTGCTTAAGATACAGATAATGTTAAAATTGTAATGCATCTTTAGCTGTTTTTTAATTGAAAATGGCAGTTGAAAAGCTCCAAAGGAGTCACTAACAGCAAGTGGTTCACATACTACTTTTGTTAACTACTGTGCTTGGCATAAGAGACAGGAGATCAGACAAGGAGTAGTTAAAAGAGAGATGCCACAGATTTTAAGATTTTGGGCCACCTTCTGGTCTCATTCACACATTACCTACTGCACTGGATTACATTCAGGGGACTAAAAAGGAAAAAAATGGTGAACTATTTAAATTAGTTCATTTATGAAAATTAATTCCTTGCTCTGTCAGATTAGTCTAAACTCTCTTTTCTGTTTCTTTTAAATAACACATACAAAGGCAATGTTTCAAAGAAGCATGAGTGCAGAGAGATTGTATATGTGCAGCTCAGTGGATGGCTGTGCACAAACATTTCTTGATTTTGGAAATGAATTATTGGGGGAAAAGAGTAATTTCATACAGAACTTAGAGTACCAAAGATAATAATGAGGAGGTGATTAGAAGAAGCCACTCTGACATATGCCAGCAGCAGATATGGCTGCCTGTTCATGTCCTGAGAACCAGAACGGCAATATGAACTGTCCAGAATTTCCTCCCTTGTTTTCTGTTGCAGCTACATGACACTATTATGAATATACAGTACAAGTGTGTGTTCATTTCATGTCTGTACAGAAAACATGGTTAGGGAAGACATTCAGCTGATGCTTTGCACCTAAAAATCTCAGAATCAACTTATTTTCCTAAGCCAAAGTGAGTGCACTTACATTCTTCAGTTACCTGGGAGAACATCAAAATCATACTTGTGCTTTTTTTGAGACCATCAAAAAATCTCTATTTGCATCTCCAATATTTCACTGTGTTTCCCACACCTGACATTTATCAGTCACTTCCAGGTAAGGATGACCTCACTGAAACTCTCTGCTCATCAAACTAGATTAAGTAGGGAATGAAGGAGGGGCAAACCCAAGATACACTTAGAAATGCTAGCAGGAAAAAGGCATCATAAGGGTAGAGGCCAACAAGATAAATCCATGAATGAATCCATGATGTCTGGATGTCAAAGAGCCAAAACACTTGCCAAATAAAAAAAAATTAGCTTGAAGCGAGCAGAAACGATAATATAAACTTAACTGAATATGCAAACTTGGGCATTGCCCTTTGGTAAAATATGTGGTGTATGCAACAGCCTGCGTTCCTCTTCTGAAACACTGCTTAAATCCTGGTCTTCAAAAACTGCACAAGGTTTCACACACCTGCTACCTTGAGGTGCATTGACTCCAAAACAGGAAAAAAATTGGCTTTTACCTTGGAATTGATTGACCTGTTGCACTGGATATGGGCTTCGCTGTTGATGYAGATGCTGCCGAGGCAAATGTGACTGCTGCTGCAACTGCTGAAAATGAAGAAGGGAAAGAAAACAGATGAGAAAGAGATGATTGATTAATTAATTAATGGTGGCCAACTGCAGAACTGCAGTGGTTCTTATCCCGTGAGGTGTTCTGGAGAGACAGGCATCATCATCTGAAGCATCCTCCTCAGAGCCCTTGGGCTACTAGGCACTCAGACTCTTTTTGGCTCAAAAASGAACAAACACTGAGGCCAACATCATCCCTCCTTCTCTACAGCCATCTCCTTCTGATGTCTACAGATTGAGCTTGAAGATCTTCAGGCAGACAGGAGAGGGAGAGATGTGAACCAGCTTTGCTCAAATAGGTCTAACGGCAACTGTAGYCACACACAGACATCTTCCTTCCCTCAGTCCTGCCAAGGTCCACAGGTTTGTTTCCCTGGTGCAAGATTTTGATCTGTGTCTTGTTTTGATCTAATCATAACACTCAGCTGCAAGGATTACTGCATCCTGACCCAAGCACAGCCTAGAAACTTTCCTGAGCCAAAACAGCAATGGATAYTAAGGCACATTTCTTCTCGTGCTTYAGTGAAYGATATTTGGGGAGTGRTGACTRCAAAATGCATTGMTCCCTTGACCCAGACCACATTGCTCCTCTSTGGTTGTTTTCTATGAAAACCTGTGAATATTTTGAAACAGAATCAATGGCTGATCATAAAAATAGAGCTTTCAGATGCTAAACACTTATTGAAAGGACATGTCTTGTAGCATCATCTGCAGCTGTGCAAATACTGTGTTCAAAACCAAGGATTGTGTAACAAAGGTACAAGAATGGCAGAGATGGAAAAGAAGGAAGTACTAAAATCTTCATTAACAAGTATGTGTTACATACTATCAAAAAGAAAAAGGGAATGGTGTTAGGCACAAACCACCCAAAGGGAGCCTGAGGACTGTTACTTCACCCCTTTTCAACTCTGCCAGCACACTTGACAGCCTCAGCCTGGTGGCTTTTTTAACACTTTCAGACTTGCCTTCAGCAGCCAAGTCACAGACTGGCTCTTGGCTTTATGCATGTGAATTGGCACAATCCATGGGATGCATTACRGCATCCTCACTCTTGTGCACTTGTTCACACTTGAATCAATTCAGGCAGCTTTATCCTAAATATTTYTAGGAGCATCCTTCCTATTCACTGAGAGTAAATTTTTCTGTTTCTCAGGAGCAACAAAAGAAGGGAAGCAATCTGTATTCCTGTGGTTACACAGCATGCACATGTTCTAACACAAATTTAAGCACTCTTAAGCTGTTTTTCCTTAGCAAGAGAGAAGCTAAGCTTAAAGCATCTGCTGACCTACCAGAGCATTATCTCAGTAATGTTAGGGGACTGTAACTTTTAACTTGGGTACGATCTTGTAGGAACTCAACAGTGTGGCTTTCCACTGGCTTTGTCCTGGGCTGCTTTAAAATTACAACTGAATTACGTACACACCACCATTCAGACTGGTTAGTTTAACATCCATATTGCAAAGCCTGAGCTCAGAAAGCCAGGTGATAGCCCCAATGCAGCTCTTCCACAGTGCCTCTGCCAGAGGTGGTGTCTTGGGGATGTTCTTTTATCCCATACCACGTTTGTGAGGGTTTTTTAAAAAAAATTATTTTCTTTTTGTTTTGTGTCTGGGATGGTCGCTGCCCACCCCGCAATGCCGGGAATATGGCGATGGTTGAAAGCCAGCCCGAGCCTTCCTGGGAGAGTTGGTGTGGGACGAGTGGGAGCTCTGCCCTCTCCAGCCCAGCAGACGATGTGGCAGGCCACACAGCACAGTCTCTCTGGCAGAGATACTGTTGCAACGTGTTTTTTGCCTGTTTCTTTGTTTATTTTCTCTCCCCACGATGACTGGGCTTACCTGGCTCCCTTCTCCGCCTCTCTGCTGTTTGGGACCACAGAGCCAGTGCGTGCCACGGTGGGACCTGGCACCAGGGTACAAGGTAGCTCATCCCCGATCAGCTAGGGAACACGGGTAATATTTGCCAAGCTAATGGTAGGACTGACACAGTTGTCTCTTCTTTGACATTGCTAAAATACCCCAACAGGAGCCACAGAGAGAATTCCCAAATCTAGAAGGAAGGGCTGGTGCTGCACTATCTGTAGTGCTCACGCTCATCCCATCATGTGTTGGAGAGAAATGGATACTGTACCTGCTCTGCTAGGATCTGCTGCTGCTGCTGCTGCTGCCTCTGCTCTCGGAGAAACTGCTGTTTCTGCTGCTCCATCACATGGAGCTGCGCTCTCTGCTCAATCAGCATCTGCTTCATGATGGCAGCCTGCGGCTGGCTCCCGAGGAAMGGCCCGCCGGAGCTGCTGCCCGKCACCCCGCTGCTGGAGCCCGCCGGSACTGAGGGCTGCACAGGCCCCGCGGGCCGCGACAATCCCACCTGGTGCTCCTGTGCAAAGACAGAGGGAAGGCTCGTCAGTGGGGTGCTCCACAGGCAAGGGAAATAAATCACTGCTCACCAGGCTGAGGAGGCGCTGAGTCTGTGGGTACAGCCTGGATCATGGAGAAAGTGAATCCTTGGAAAGATGGGCATGGCTTGCAACCAAGCTTCCCACAGGGAATAGGCTCCTATTTTCTCCTGGAATTCAAAGCCCTTCAGGTAAAGCAGAAGCAGTTTGTAATTCATTAATAATGAAAAAAATGAAGCTCTGTGTTAAGGTTTTTCTGCGCTTCAGAGTAATGTTTTTCTAAACTTTGCTCCCTTCTCAAGGAGAAAAGAACGTTTTCTCTTCCTTTCCGTTTCCATCTCTTCATCATAGCAATTAAACRCAGCCCCCTGGATTGAGAAGCCAAAACCTTATGTGCACACAACGAATACTGGGAGCTGGCAGCGTTCATTCTCCTTCTCCAGAACCTCAGGATTTAACTCCATTACGTGTTTATTCAAGATTTCCATTCTGCAGCACTGGATCGGKGTGTGTGTGTGYGTGTGTGTCTGGAAGGACGCRGGGCAAGCACCTTCCCTTCACACACCCCACTCCCCGTTTTCAAAATCCAATTTGCTGCCTTTTAACGCTGGGAAAAGTACGGAAATCCCAACCCGGCGGAGAGACGAGACCAGGGCCGGGATCGGCCGAGCCTTCCCGCCGCCATCACCGCCGGCAGGGGGCGCTGCCCGCCCGCGGCGCTG